GGCCATGGCGGGGGCCCGGGCCTCACCGCCGGCGAGCGGCGGCGCTGGGGGGAGGGGAGGGGCGAGGGTTTTAGGCGAGGGGTGGTGCGGGTGGCGGAGGCAGTGAGCTGGAGACGCGTACTGGCCCGTGCGTGCGGGCGGTGCGGGGACGGACGGTGGCGGAGATTTTGCGATGGGGTGACTGACTGGCCGCGGGGCCCGCGGCGTCAGTGCACGTTATGGCGTCGCGGGGGCCGCGTGGCTGGCCCGCGTTTGAAATTTCGGGGGACGCGGCGTGACGGCGAGGGTTTCGGTCAGCCCGCCCGCCCGGTTTGGTCCCGGTCCTGGTCGAGCGGCGCGTCGCGTGACGGTGACTGTGACCGTGACTGTGTGTGTGATCGAGTGATCGTACTCGGACGTTGTTTGTTCCTTTTGTCACTAGCGGCGGTGCACCTTACGTGAGGCCGTGGAAGTTATTACCGTGGTACGGGATAAGCAGGGTTCTCGTGCGTCCGCTACGGAATTACTAAGGCCAACTCCACCGCGCGACCCTATCCTGTCCGGACCGTCCGTTTGGGGTAAAAAGGACAAAAGAGGCGGCCCAGTGCGCGGTCTCAAACGGACAAATGTCCGGATTCCGTCCGTTTTCGACCCATCCCCGGCCCAAACTTGCGCTCGGTTTGGGGTGAAACGGACGCGCGCGGACGGCCGCGACGCACGCCCTTGTCCCCCCGTGGCCCGCCTGTCGGGGGACACTAGCAGTCCGTCCGCTCCCAACGCTTCACCCTCTCTCCCCGCCCCGCCCGCCGCGGCGCCGCCTCTATTCTCCGGCCACCTCCTCACCGCGCAGCCCCGCGCCGTCCATACCAAACTACGTCTCGACATGGCCGCCACCACGCCCGCGCTTTCGCCGTAGTTTTGGTCGTCTATCGGGGGAGGTTTGGCCGTCGCCGTCCTTGCCGGTGGCGGAGGGGACACGACCGCCGGCGACCGCTCTTCAAGGCAGATTCCGACGAGATCTCCAGAGCGGCCAGTAGCCGGCCGACAACCATCCCTGCTGCGTCGAGTGATCATCGCGGCCTCTTCACCACCACGACCGGAAGGTGTTCGACTTTTTGCCATCAAAGGTATGGACAGTGGAGACAAGTTTTTCTTTCATCACTTCCTTTGTTCGTCGGACGATTCATCGTCGGATGATGAAGATCTTGTGGTGGCTGCACTGGTCGTTCACGACCATATTCAACGACTGCTTCCTCGGTACAGGGGCTCACTCCCTGGCCGTGCTCCCAACCTGAACCGCAACAGGGAGAGAGGCCACGCCCTACTTTATGCCGATTACTTTGCCAACACCCCGCTCTTCAAGCAGGATAAATTTCGTCGCCGTTTTCGTATGGCAAGGCATGTGTTCAATCGTATCCGAGAGGGAGTGGTTGCTCATGACCCATACTTCGAGTGCAAGACGGATGCCCTTGGCAAGCTTGGGTTCTCCTCTTATCAGAAATGCACCGCGGCCATCCGCATGCTTGCATATGGTATTCCAGGCGATCTGGTGGACGAGTATGTGCGTATGAGTGAGACAACATGTCTGATGTCAATGTACAAGTTTTGTCAGGCCGTGATCGAGGTGTTTGGCCCAGAGTACTTGAGACAGCCAACTGCCGCTGATACAGAGAGATTGTTGGCGACCAACGCAGCTAGAGGCTTTCCAGGCATGCTTGGCAGCATAGATTGTATGCATTGGGAGTGAAAGAACTGTCCATTTGCTTGGCAGGGCCACTACAAGGGGCATGTTAATGGGTGCACTGTCATATTAGAAGTGGTGGCATCGCAAGATCTTTGGATATGGCATTCTTTTTTCGGCATGGCAGGTTCTCACAATGATATCAACGTGCTGCAACGCTCTCCAGTCTTCGCAAGGCTTGCAGAAGGCCACTCCCCACCTGTCAACTTTGAGATCAACGGCCACCAGTACAACAAGGGATACTATCTAGCAAATGGTATATATCCTCAATGGTCAACTTTTATGAAGTCAATCTCGAAACCCCAAGGTGAGAAGAGAAAGAGATTTGCCCAAATGCAAGAGAGTGTTAGAAAGGATGTGGAACGTGCTTTTGGTGTGCTTCAATCCCGGTGGGGTATCGTTCGAAACCCTGCATTGTCATGGGATGAAAGGAAGCTTTGGGAGGTGATGACTGCTTGTGTGATTATGCACAACATGATCGTCGAGGACGAGCGTGATGAGAATATCTTCGACCAAGGATTTGATTATCAAGGTGAAAATATTGAGCCCCTGCACCAAGACCCGACCTCATTTGAATAGTTTGTCCAATTCCACCGTGAGATGCGTGATTGGCACATTCATTTGAATCTTCAAAATGACTTGGTTGAGCACGTCTGGGATCACATTGGCAACCAATAGATGTATTGGTCCAATTTACGTTCAGTCGGGACAATTTCGATTTGGTTGTAAAACTATTTTATCAAAGACAATTTCAGTTGAGTTGCAAAACTATTTTAATTTTCACACAAATATTTGGGTTGGAAACTAGTTTTGATGCAATTTGGGCATTTTTGGCCCTGACAGACAGGATGGGGCAAATGGATGCGGCCGCGCGCTGGGCGCACGTCCACCGCATCCCTGGACAGGTCCGGACACGACCCCAAATCGCTACCCAAACGGACAGAATCCGGACAAAACGGACGTCCATTTGGGGTCGCGCGGTGGAGTTGGCCTCCACCGCGCGACCCCATCTTGTCCGGATGCGTCCGTTTGGGATAAAACGGACGAATAGCGCGGCCTCAAACGGACAAATGTCCGGAATCCGTCCATTTTTGACTCGTCCCCGGTCCAAAGTTGCACTCGGTTTGGGGTGAAACGGACGCGCGCGGACGGCCGCGACGCACGCCCTTGTCCTCCCGTGGCCCGCCTGTCGGGGACACTAGCAGTCCCTCCCTCCCACCGCTTCGACCCTCTCTCTGCCGCCCCACCCCGCCGCCGGCGCCGCCGCTATTCTCTGGCCGCCTCCTCACCGCACAGCCGCCGGCCGTCCATACCAAACCACGTGGCCGCCATCACTCCCGCGCTTTCGCCGTTTTCGCCGTAGTTTTGGCCGTTGATCGGAGGAGGTTTGGCCGTCGCCGTCTTTGCCGGTGGCAGAGGAGACACGACCGCCACGACAGCTTCGGACGGCTCTAGAGCGGCCAGTAGCCGGCCGGCAACCACCCCTGTTGCGTCAAGGTGATCATCACGGCCTCTTCACCACCACGCCTGCAAGGTGTTCGACATTTTGCCCACAAAGGTATGGACAGTGGAGACGAGTTCTTCTTCCACCACTTCCTTTGTTCATCGGACGATCCGTCGTTCGAATGATGAAGATCTTGTGGTGGCTGCACTGGTCGTTCACGACCACATTCAACGGCAGCTTCCTCGGTACAGGTGGTCAGTCTCTGGCCGTGCTCCCAACCTGAACAGCAACAGGGAGAGAGGCCACGCCCTGCTCTATGCCGATTACTTTTCCAACAAACAACTCTTCAAGCCGGATAAATTCCGACACCGTTTTTGAATGGGAAGGCATGTGTTCAATCGTATCCGAGAGGGAGTGGTTGCTCATGACCCATACTTCAAGTGCAAGACGGATGTCCTTGGCAAGCTTGGGTTCTCCTCTTAGCAGAAATGCATCGCGGCCGTCCGCATGCTTGCCTATGGAATTTCAGGCGATCTGGTGGATGAGTACGTGCGTATGAGCGAGACAACATGTCTGATGTCAATGTACAAGTTCAGTCAGGCTGTGATCGAGGTGTTTGGTCCAGAGTACTTGAGGCAGCCAACTGTCGCCGATGCAGAGAGATTGTTGACGACCAACGCAGCTAGAGGCTTTCCAGGCATGCTTGGCAGCATAGATTGTATGCACTGGGAGTGGAAGAACTGTCCATTTGCTTGGCAGGGCCAGTACAAGGGCATGTAGGCGAGTGCACTATCATATTAGAAGCGGTGGCATCGCAGGATCTCTGGATATGGCATTCTTTCTTTGGCATGGCAGGTTCTCACAATGATATCAACATGCTGCAATGTTCTCTAGTCTTCACGAGGCTTGCAGAAGGCCGCTCCCCACCTGTCAACTTTGAGATCAACGGCCACCAGTACAACGAAGGATACTATCTAGCTGATGGTATATATCCTCAGTGGTCAACTTTTGTGAAGACAATCTCGAAGCCCCAAGGTGAGAAGAGAAAGAGATTTGCCCAAATGCAAGAGAGTGCTAGAAAGGATGTGGAACGTGCTTTTGGTGTGCTTCAATCCCAATGGGGCATCGTTCGATACCCTGCACTGTCATGGGATGAAAGGAAGCTTTGGGAGGTGATGACTGCTTGTGT